TATACAAAACTCTCCTAGCCCAGTGACAGATTTAAGGAGTGGGAGATAGATTTCTATGTTTCAGAAATCAAATACACGAAGAATAAAAATTTTTAATCCCATGATTCTTTGCCCAAGTTTAATTTTTTGGAGAGTTTTTCTTTAGATTTTCTTTCCTTTCCATTAAACTGTTACTTTGAAAGGTATCAGAGTTTTGAATAATGTCACGATAACAATTATTAAGGTGAATGAATGGTCTACAGTAGAAGTTTTTAGATGCCTTCTCTACAGAGTAATTTGATTTAGTCAGTGCAAGGATGCCTTTGCTTAGCTGGAATGGAAGATGTGCAGGCTGGAGTGGTCTTGGCAATTCTTCCGGGGGGAAATGCAGCATTTGGAAGTGTAGGAGGCAGAAGGAATCTCAGGCAAGGGAAAGGCGTGGGCAGAGCCCTGGAAAACAGAACAGGTTGTGGTGGACTTGGTGTCCACATAGACCTCATCAGTGGTCTTAGCTTTTGTGTCTTCAAAATTACCACAGTTTGTGTTCTAAAATTGTTATCCCCTTAATTTTATTTCAGGCATGTTATCTGTGTATTTTGAAATTTAAAATAACAGTAAAGGAGAAATGAAATTATTTTGTTTGAGAAAAAGTTAAAAGGTTAAAACATCTTGATCTAAATAATTTTCTACGGGGAGATTTGGTACATCCCCAGAAGCTGTCCTCGGTTCAGAAAACAGTCTTCAGACCTAGAAAGGACTTGAGGAGTCCCAGAGAGGAGCTGCATGCTCTGAACCATTGGATTCTCACGACAGAATAAGTAAAAACAATTTTAACCATGAAACCATTCAGATGTTCATATTCTGGATAGGGTAAGGTCAATGCCATTGTCAGAGGAAAAACTTTTGGCCATCACAGGATGGGAGAGAAAGTTTGAGTTGTAAAGAAAACTCCAGTGCCATTTAAGGGAATGGGTTTTTCTGCCCCTATTCTTTGGAATATTTAGGGCTAACTTCTTAGTTTTTGACATCATAAAAATTTCAAACTATTTTGTTCTAAGAGGCATTTCAAACAATTGACTACAATTTCAGAGCAATTACATGAGAGTAATACCAACAGAATTTTTAAGTTGCCCGTAGTCCTATATCAGTAACAATTACGCTCATGCTTGCATGTTCTCTTTTCATCTTTACTGTGTGCATACTTTCTTAGTAATGACATGTAGAAATTGTTTAAGCAGGAATAATTCTCGATATAATTTTGTATGTTTCCTTTTTTCTTTTTAAGGTATGTATTGGGTGGAGGAGCATTATATATGAAACTTCTCACAAAACAGGTGATTATTTTCTTATAATACTCAATTTTCACCCTCAATAGAGTTTTGATTATGTAAGTTAGATTGTAAGTAGAAGGTTCTCTTAAAGAAATTTTAGTGTTTTTTTTTTCATAGCCCCTACTTTTGAGGATGAAAAAGGTAAACCAGAAAAATGAGATTGTACTTGGTGCTGAATCTATGCCAGGATAGGCATTAAGAGTGACCATTATTTAAGGTTCTAATTTGCTCGTGTTGGGCACTTAGAACATTGGTTTGTTGCTTTTTGTGAGATTCTGGAAATGGTCCACTTTTATTTTTCCCCCTTGACTCCAGACTTTTTAACACCGATCTGCTGCTGTTGAGGCATATGCCATTTTGTTAGGCCTACTCAAGTGGGAATCAGGAATGCTGCTGTGTTCCAGAGATGTTTTGTTCTTCCTGTAGGGCTGAAGCAGTGCCTACTTGATAGAATTGGTCATCGTGCAAAAAAATGCCTCCTGACTCAAAGGCAAAGCCAGAGTGCAGCTTGGAGCAAAGAAGGTACTTTCATTAAGAATTTTACATAAACCATAAGATATATTTTGTATTACTTTGTGAGCCTTCTTCCTGTCTTGATTTAATTCTTTTTGAGAGAATTCATTTCATTTTCATTTGGTTTGTTTTCTTCTTGTTGCAAAGATGATCTCTAGAAAAGTTTGCAGATACTAACTGATAATCACTTAATGATTTAGAACCTGCTTGTTTAGTCTTTGTTATATTTACTATAGGCAAACATGGCGACAGTTATACATTTATTATTGGTATGTATACCCTAGTAAGTTAAAAGTTATATATACTTTGAAGTTTTTTGCAAAGTTGAGTTCATATTATAGAATTAATTTCTGATGAACTTTTACATGCTAGGCACTAGTCTTTTTATTTATGGATTGATTTTTACTTTTTCTTTCCCCTCTGTGCCTATGCTTACCAAGTCTTTCTAATTTTTACTTTTTATTAATTCTTTCAATCCTCTTAATAGCTTAAAAAGAGGATATTATTAATATCTGCATTTTGTAGATGAGGTAACTGAAGGTGGGTAACTTATCCAAGGTCACAGGTGGCAGAGCAAGGATTAAAACCAGACAGTCTGGCTCCCCAAGGCCCAACCGAGAGGAGCTGAGAGCACGCCATGGGACAGAAGGATGTTGTTCAGGCCGGTTTTCTGTTCAGTTAACATGAAATGCAGGCTGTAATCTTAATGCTAGGACATTACTGAGAAAGTCTTCCAAAGCCATAGCTTTTTTACCATGACCATGACTTTTAGCAAGAATTTGTGGTTTAAAGGCCACATGGTGCTCTAAGAAGCTTCTGTTCACTTTTACGGAGGGACTGATTGTTGAGCTAAATAGAAATGCTGGAGCACACAGCCTTTAGGGCAGGTTCTGACCTATTTCTGTGGTCAGGAAAGACACCTGTCTTTCCCTACTGCCCACAGCCTCCCGTTATTCACCTTCAGAATTTCCTAGTCTGTGATCACATTCAGATGAGAGATCTGTTTTGTTTTTTCCAGGGTAGGAGGAAGGGAGTCACCAACAATACTAACCAGTCTAGTCTTCTGTGTATAAATGAGCAAGATTGTGGAGCCAAATTTGAGAACCTTGTGTAATCCTGAGATTCTCCAAGAGAATTCAAGAGAATGTCAGGATTACGCTTGGTGGTAAAGTGGGCTTATGTTAGTTGTCTCCACAGCTCTCATCAAAAGCAGACACCGATACTTTTTGAGGGAAGCTTTCTCTAACTGAAGCCTGTAGGTTGCCAAAGATTAAAAGCAGGCAACTATGAATTCAGATAAATCATAACTTCAAGTAGTCAACCCAAGATATTTGAGGATTGTTAGAAACAATGAATAATATTTTTCCCAAAGACTGTAGGTTTTGGAATCATCAGATACAGAACACAGACTTCAAATATTATAATTGTGAGAAAATAGTTACGTGTGAAATCTAATACATATATATATATATATTCATTCATAAAATTGAGCAAGCAGTAAGACCACCAGAAATGATGAGGAAGACCTGAAAGGAAAATGGATGAAATACAGAAATAAAATATATAGTTGGGTATGGTGGCTCACAGCTGAAATCCCAGCAGTTTTGAGGAGGCTGAGGCACGAGGATGGCATAAGCCCAGGAGTTGGAGAGAAGCCCAGGCAACATGCTGAGAACTCATTTCTACAAAATATACCCCACCATCACCACACACACACACACAAATATATATATATATAGCTGGGTATGGGGCACCTGCCTATAGTCCCAGCTACTCAGGAGGCTGTGGTGGCAGGATCACTTGAGCCCAGGAGGCCAAGGCTACAGGTTCGTGGTACTGCACTCTAGCCTGGGTGACAGAGTGAGACTCTCTCTCTGAATAAAATAAAATTAAAAATGTAATTGTTGAAATAAGAGACTCAGTGGATGGATTAGACATGAGAAGAAAGAATTAATTGGTTAGATGATTCTCTGCAAAAAGTAAGTCAGTATGTTACACAGAGAGACATGAGGATAGATGATAGGGCAGAAGTTGGTGGACTTGGCAGGGACAGGGAGATCAGAATGAGATCTAAAGTATGTGTTAGTGAAATCCCTGGAGGACGTATTAAAATAATATTAGAAAGTGAGAGAAATAGAAGTTCCTTGTTTTGTTTTGTTTGTTTGTTTTGAGATGGAGTCTTGCACTGTAGCCTAGGCTAGAGTGCAGTGGAACGACCTTGGCTCACTACAAGCTCTGCCTCCTGGGTTCACGCCATTCTCCTGCCTCATCCTCCCAAGTAGCTGGGGCTACAAGCACCCACTACCATGCCCAGCTAATTGTTTGTACTTCTAGTAGAGATGGGTTTTCACCGTGTTAGCCAGGATGGTCTCAATCTCCTGACCTCCTGATCCGCCTGCCTCAGGCTCCCAAAGTGCTGGAATTACAGTCATGAGACACCGCAACTGGCCCAAAAGCTTTGGTTTTTACAGATATTAAACATGTTTTTTGTTTAAGAAAAAAAAAATCTTAACAATAACATAGAAGAATAAGAGAAATATTTTTCCAAAAAAGAGAAACCATTGTGATTATTTTATCTTATTGGAATGTTGAATAATATAGTCTACTTCATTAACCATCAAGCATGCTATGGATTTTCCATTTTTATATGATCTGTATCTCAGTTAACGTAATACTGGTAATTTTTGTACTGTATGAAAAATATAGGCCAAAATCATAGACCTTGAATAGAAGCTGGGTCATGAAGATAGCTCTGGAGGAACACATAGATACACAAAAACTGAAAAACACACATATAAAGTACACACACATATATTTTTTAAAGTTTTAAAGCTTTTAAAGCAAAAGCCAGCCCCTCCCCTCTCCCAGAGTGGGTGGCCTCTGCCCTGTCTTAGACTGGGTGGGGACAGCGGTTGCATGGGCAACTTTCCTTGTAAGCCACAGGTCCCTCTGGCCATGCTGCTGTCTGGCCACACCCCCTTTCCCTTTCATCTTTCTCATTGACCAATGGGCTTGGAGCATTAAGGCCACACCCCTATTCCGCATTCTACTGGGGCCCTGGTTACGCCTCCTCTGGCTCAGTCACACAGCAACCTGGTTGGTGACTGGAGGTGTTGATCAGTGCTCGCTGGGATTTTGCTGAAGTGGCCCCAACCCCGCCTCCCTCCCCACCCTGCGATGGCAGGAGAAACTCGAGAGAGCAAATTGGCAGCAGCCAAGAAAAAGGTAAAAACACACTAGGTCATGGCCCCCCAACCCAGTCACAGATGCCCTCCGATGACAAGACTCCTGCCAGAGTCCATACCACTTCTGAGGCACACCAGACTGGGTCCCCCACCCCAGTGCCTCTGGGCTACCCCCACCAAAGTTTTGTCAGTCAGCCCCACCCCTTCAGCAAGCAGCCCTGTCCCTACCATTGGCAGTCACCCCAGGGTGACTTTGGGCGGGTGACTCCTGGGGCTCCCCACTCCATTAATGGGCCCTCATCTCCTGCCGCCCCAAGCTTGCCCTCCCTTGGCTCTTTGGGCTCACATCTCCAAGAACCTGGGTTCCCCCAGCCCCAGGCCCCACCCTTGCCAGTCATCCCTGGGTGACTTTGGGACTGCGGGACTTTGGGATGCTGGTGACTCCTGGGGCGCCCTGCTGCAGACTCTGCCCTCCACTCCTGCTACCTCAAGGTCACCCTCCCTGGGCTCTTTGCACTGGCGTCTCCAAGGACCTGGGTCCCAACCCTGTGTTTCCCTCCCCCATTGTGGAGCAGTGACTCGGACACGCTACTGATGTGGTCCCTCCCCCCAACCTGGAGGAGTGGAATGTGATGATGTCACAATCCACCTAGGAACTGTCATTACTGGAAGACCGGCCTTTGATCTTATGACCCAGTCCCCTAAGCGTTCTCACCCCATTTCTGGTTCCTCTGGTCACAGCACAAATTTGAAGCTGGAAGGGGAATGGAGACTATGGGACCTAGGAGGAAGACGTTCCAGTCTGCCTCACTCCCTTAACATAGACATTGACAGGGGAAAAAGCCTACAGTTCCCCAGTAAGCGCAAAACATTGACAGTATCTCTGGGTGGCAATGGGAGAATGGGTTTGGTTTGGTTTTCTCCCAGGTTGCTACTTTCCAGAGAGATTTTAACATTTTT